CTGAGGGGTGAGGAGTCGTGCTTTTCCTTCGTGAGGGTGGAGTGGTTGCTGCTGTCACACTGGCCCCTGGTTCATGGCGACCTCGCACACCAGGACCCAATGATGCCTGTTTCTGCACTGTCCCCACGATCAGTGGCAGGTCGGACTGTTGGGACCCGTAGGGTTTTCACTGGCTGATTTTTGGAAGCAAGTCACTAGGTCTTCCCTCCTAGTGCATCTTAGTCCAGAAGCCCCACTGAGACCTGTTCAGCATCCAAGCAAGCCTCCACGGACAGAGGTACATAAAGGACATGGGGACGGCACCCTCTGACTTCCTCCAGTGTCCCAGGGAGAAACAAGTCACCATCAACAGCCCAAGTCTTATTCCTAGGAGGCCAGACATACCTCCCCCCACCAGCCTTTTTACCAGTTCTGACACCAGCCGTCCCTCCCACGGCACTCACTACTTCTCTGCTGGGTTTGATAATTCGTTGCATTGGCCACACAGAGCTCACAGACAATGCTCACGATGATGGAGGTTTATTAGGGAAGTAACAGGCTACAGTTCAGGTTCAGGAGCAGCTCACCACACAGTTCCCCAATCAGGACAGTCTCCCCTCTGCTGTGCCCACAGACACGCCTCTCTGGCCCTTGGCCCCTCGGCCTGGCCTCTGTCCTGCTTGGGCAAGTGGTACAAAGCTTTATTAGCTCTGCCGACAGGTACACCTCGGTGCACCCCACTCTGTCAGAAAACCTGCCCCAAGGCACTCAGCTTTCTCCCTCTGTGGCCCACAAGGCCTGCCGCTCCCTCTCTTGCCTCTTGGTTCCACTGCCACTGTCTCTCAGCCGTGTGTCTCTCAGGTCTCTCTGCCAGGGCGTCTCTGCCATGGAGGTGCAGCGCAGGGCTCTTGGTTCCTGCTCTTCTCTGTTGATGGCAGTGAGAGCCCCTCTTCTGTCTCTGAGAGGACCCATTTTAAGCCTGGCAGATGTCGGAACTAACCAATCCCCACACTAGATTCCACACACCTGATTTGCATGGTCCCACCCAATCATCTGGTGGGAGTCACAAAGACCATGGCTGGAAGAGCCATCCCAAGTACTCCACTGCCCCACAGACGGGTGGTGGCTGTGCCTGAAGTACACGGGCCGGGGGCAGAAACTGGGGCTCCCACATGGAAGGTGAGGGTTCTACCACAGAGTTGTCATGGCGCCCTGGAGGGTGGAGCATGCATGTAAATTATCAGGAATTCTTTTGTATCCGAGCTTTGTCTCTCCTCTCTAACTTACGTGCTCCATCATTTATTTGTATCTGTGTGGAGTGTGGACATTGACCTTATTCTCTGGTTTACAATCCAATGCTACATTATTTATTTTGTCAAGCAAACTGTTCCAGTGGTAGGGATGCCCTTCCTGTTGACTTCCTTTCACACACAGCTACTCGCAGTCAGTGTTCTGGTTACCAAGTGCAGCTCTGACAATATATACCACCAATGGGACGGCCTTAACAAACAGGAGTTATTATCTCACAATTTGGAGGCTTTAAGTCCAAGTTCAAAGTGCCAGGCTCTAGGGGCTGGGTGAAAGCCCCTCAACCTTGGGGTCCAGCTCTGCCTCCTGCTCCCGGCTCACTGGAGCTAGAGGCTTTTCTTCACTCAGACAGCTGCTGGCTGCTGAGGCTGACAAACCCAAGGCTGACAAGTAAAAAGGCACAGTCCCGATGTTACCAATCCACACAGCAGGCCATTAACTCAAGTCCATTGTAAGTCCCAAGGTCGGCAGAACATGGCAGGCTGCTGAACAATGACACGGCTACATGCAGGGGCCAAGTGTGCCATAGGCTAGAGACCATTCCCAAAGCTGCTTCTTATATACAGGAAGCAGACCACATCCCAAAGGCAGCTACTCAGCTGCTTGCAGTAGATTCCACCATGAAGATGATTGCCAGTCTCATCATGGGGAATAACTACCACCAGCTGCCCAGCCACTCAGCCAGGCCCAGCCAAGTGGACACACAAACATAACCACCACAGTCAGTAATTCCACAGGGACCCACCCATGTGGGCCTGACCTTGTCGAGAGAGCTGCTTATATTCCAAAGTGGGACAGCCCTCAGGTTTCATAAGTGGTAGATGCATAACCCTACATCTTTAAGTCAAATGCATACATAAGTCGAAGCAGTATGGTTCGCATCTAACAACAGTCAGTCAAATGTTTGTCTTAATACAACATATAGTGCACCTTTCTATGCATAAACATATTGCAGAAACACATCTGGAAACACTGATGCATCTTTAAACGCATAGCGACCCCTCCTTGGGTTTCCGAGGCAGTATCACTGAGGAAGTAGATTGCCCAATCTTCCTTCCGAGGAGTGACTGGTGGGTTTGAACTGCCAGCCTTCTGATTATCAGTCAAATGCCTTAGGCACTATGCCACCAGAACTCCTAACATCATATACAGTAATAATGGTAACATTAGCAATGTTTGATGCAAGTCACAAAGTAGCACCTCTTTGTTGTTACAAACCATTGTCTGTACCTTGGATTTTGAATAGAATAGGCTTTTATGGAGTTGGTTTGTAACCACCAGTGGTACGGGATTGCCTGAATGTAAAACCACGTGAACCTGAAGCAGTCCCTCATTCTCTGTGGATCTCGACATCCCCTGTCTGTCTCAGTTCCCGAGGGCTGTTGTAACAGAAACATCACAAGGGGGTGGCTTTACCGAACAGAAACGTATTTTCTCACAGTTTGGGAGGCGAGAAGTCTGAATTCAGCGCTCGGGCTCTCCGCGTGCCCTGGGGGCAGGCCTTTGTCGCAGCTTCTCTGGCCCTCTGGACGCTCCTTGGCAGTCTCCATGAGGCATTTACCTTCCTCCCATCCTTGCTTGTTCTGGTGGGGCAGTGAGTAAGGCATTCAGCTGCTAACCATGAAGGTCAGTGGTTGGAACCCACCAGCCACTCCATGGAAGAAAAATGAGCCAGTTGGTTGCCTTGGAAACCCTATGGGACAGTTCTACCCTGTCCTATAGGGTCGCTATGAGTCTGAATCAACTCCACGGCTCTGGGGGATTTTGGTGTCTGTGCCTAATCTGTTCTGTTCTTTTTATAGGTCAGAAGTGGTCAGGGCCTGGTTGAGAAGCTGGGCAGCTGGGTGTAGTCTTCCCCATGAGGAGACTGGTGATCAGCTCCACGGTGGAATCTACGGGAGCAGCTGAGAGCTGCCGTAGGGCTGTGGTCTGCTTCCCGTGTAGAAGGACAAGCTTTGGGAATGGTCTGCAGCTTCTTGGCACGCTTGGACCATGCATGTAGCCGAGTCATTGTTCAGCAACCTGCCATGCTCTGCCGATCATGGGACTGTCAATGGCCTGCCATGTAGTTTGGTAGCATGAGGACTGGGCCCTTTTACTTGCTGGCCTTGGGCTTGTCAGCTTCAGCAGCCAGCAGCTGTCTGAGTAAAGAAAGCCTCTAGCTTCAGTGGACCGGGAGCAGGAGGCAGAGCTGAAACCCAAGGCTTTCACCCAGCCCCCAGAGCCTGGCACTTTGAATTCGGACTTCTAGCCTGCGAAACTATGACAGGATAAACTCCTGTCTGTTCAAGCCACCCCATCGGTGGTATTTTCTGTTAGAGCAGCACAGAGTAACCAAAACAGGCCTCATTAACATAACAAAGAGAAGCTTGTTCCCAGACAGGATCCCACCCACAGCATAGGGGTGAGGATTCCAACACATATTTTAGGGACCACAATTCAATCCATATTGTTGTTGTTGTTGTTTGCCATCGAGTCAGCCCCGACTCATAGCGACCCCTCCTTGGGTTTCCGAGGCAGTATCACTACGGAAGTAGGAATGCCCAACCTTCCTTCCGAGGAGTGGCTGGTGGGTTTGAACCGCCAGCCTTCTGGTTAGCAGTCAAGTGACTTAGCCACTATGCTACCAGAGCTCCCACCATATTAGCATCCAAAAACAAGAAGCTTAATATTAATTACATGACCAGCACAGAGCCCTCCCTGCTAATGTTTATTTGTTTTTTTGAAGTGGACTTTTATTTTTAGGTAATATTTTATTGTGTTTTCGGTGAAGTTTCCCACGGCAGTTCATGTTCCCATTCGACAATTTCCGCACAGGTTGTTCAGTGACATTGGTTCCATTCTACACAATGCGTGAACATTTTATTTCCATTCTGGTTGTTCCGTTTCCTTCCATCTAGTCTCCCTGCCCCCCTGACAGTCTTATCTTTGTATTAAAGTCATTGTTGACAGGCTGGTCTCACAGAGGTGATTTGTTGAAGGAGCACAGTACTCACAGGTGAGTTGCATTATTTTGTGAGCCAATCTGTAACTCAGCTACAAGGTGACCTCAGGGGTTAGCTGCAGTTCGAGGTTTGAAGAGTATGTCTGGGTGATAGTCTCAGGGAGTCCTCCAGCCTCAACTGGTCCACTAAGTCTGTTTTTTTTGTTTTTGTTTTTTTTCTTTTTAGGAATTTGAAATTCTGTCCCACATTTTCCCTCCTTTCTATCAGGGTCTGTCTACTATGGCCCTGATCAGAATGGTAGTGATAGCTGGGCACCATCTTGTTCTTCTGGTCTCAGGGAAGATGAGGCCATGTTTCATGTAGACATTTGTCCTGTGGACTAGTTTCTTGTTTGAGTCTTTGGTTCCCTTCTTTCTCTTTTGTTCCAAATGAGTAGAGACCAGAAGCTGTATCTTAGATGGCCACTGGCAAGCTTTTAAGACCCAACACTACTCACCAAACTAGGATGTAGAACGTAACGATATGAACTATATTTTGCCAGGGGACTGAGAAGTTCCACGAGACTATGGTCCTAAGCCTTCGACACCTCACCCCCACCCACCAATGTTTTATGAGTTTCTGTGCTAATAGGGAAGTGTATTTTGGCTTGATGATCCCTAAAGCTAAAAGTGTTTTGTTCCCGTTGCTGTTTTATCGGAATGTGTTGGGCTGAACCTGCCCACATCACTGCCGGATCTGTGGCGCCTTGTGCTGACGCTGGGTCCACAGGCCTCTCCCAGAAGAGACGGGGATGGACACGCTGGGCAGCCCGGTCGGAGACTCATCGTGTAAGTTTCCACACGGGCAGACCAGCAGGTGCTCATTGCAAGTTTCCAGGGTTCAGACTCGCCCAGACCGTAACACTAGAAATGTCAAAGGTTATGCTGCCTAGGAGATCAGGGAAGGTTGCTCTCTGAGGCCAGCCAGGAGCCTAAGGTTGTGTCTCTGGGGCCTGACCAGCCCCCACCAAGTCACCTCATTAGCATAAACCTCCGGTGAGGTCAGGGCCCCCCCCCCCCAGTGCATGAGAAGCACTGCATGCACTGAGCACTTCCAAGGTTTCAGAGGTTACCTGAGGCCACTGGGTAGTTCAGATGGTTTGCAGTCACTCCTAACCTAAACATTGGCAGTTCAGACTCCCCCAGCAGCACCACGGAAGAAAGGCTTGACAATCTACTTCCACAAAAACCAGAGCCAAGAAAACCCTGTGGAACACAGTTTTACTCTGTAACACGTTGGGGTGCCACAATTCAAAACAGACTCCGTGGCAGTGGGTTGGGAAATGGGGAGGAGGAAAAAGTAAGAAAGAGCCTAGGCCCACATACCTTTCCTATTCTCTGCAGCCCCTCCAAACACTTTAAACTTCAATGGGGCTCATCGGAAAAGAAAGACACTTGTCGCCCCCGAGATCAACATTTCCCTGGATCAGAGTGAGGGCTCTCTGCTGTCGGATGACTTCCTGGACACCCCCGATGACCTGGACATCAACGTGGATGACATCGAGACCCCTGACGAGACCGACTCGCTGGAGTTCCTGGGGAACGGCAATGAGCTAGAATGGGAAGGTGAGGGCAGTGGTGGCCCAGGGGTGGACTCCCCGCCCTCCGTGCGGAGACCCGGGTTGGAGTCCTGGCCAGTGTGACTCACGGGTGGCCACCTCCCGTCTGTCCGTGGGGTGTTCATGTTGCTGTGAGGCTGAACAGTTTTCAGAGGAGCTTCCAGGCTGAGACAGACTAGAAAGAAAGGCCTGGTGACCAGCTTCTGAATCAGCCAATGAAAACGCCATGAGCCCCACGGTCCACTGTGCATATGGCGGCCATGTGTCGAGAGCTGACTCAGCGGCAGCTCACACCTCCACCACCCGGGCTGTGTGCCAGCCCCAGAGGCCTGAGATTGTGCACCCATTCCGTTCTCTGTACCTGCATGACCTTCTGATGCTCAGGCTACCACATCTTCTAGGGGGAAGCTTCATTTGAATGTTTTGCTGGCGGGTATTTGATGCTTTCCCAGCCACTCACATCCCTCTGGACTCGTGTAGCTGACCAGGCCCTTGGCCCTATGCAGTCTGCATTCTGGCCAACCACTCAGTGCAGCCCTGAAGCTTGACTCAAGGCCTCCTTTGGCTTCCCACAGCCACTTGCTGGAGCCCCTGGGTCCCCAGACTCCGAGAGCCACAGTGAGCGGCAGGCAGGACAAGGGTTCTAACCTGGGGCCTGAGCAAGAGCCCCAGTTCCTACAGCTTTGTGTACATCTGTCTGCTGGGTGTGTGCTTGTCCGGGGGCAGGGATTTCACCAGATTCTCACAGGCCACTGGGACCCAAAGTACATGCAATGGATTCAACACTGGGTGAGGATTTCTCCTGGAAGTCTCTAGGGAGCCTGCATAGTCTGCACTCAACTGCTCACTGAAAGGTTGACTGTTCGAACCCACAGAGGCCTCCACGGAAGAAAGGCCTGGTGATCGGTTTCTGTCAAGATGACAGCCGAGGTACCGCTGCACTGCACAGTTCTGCTCTGGCACACACGAGACGTGGGGTCATCAGGAGTCGGAACTGACAGCAACTGACAACAGTAACAACAGCCTCTCTCGTGGGGCAGGGCCTGGTGGAGATGCTGGGGCTACAATGGGGACAGGGCAGAAGGAGATGGTCTCTGGCCACCCAGCTGGTCACAAAGGGAGATGCTGAGCAGTGAGAGAAATCTTAGAAGCTGCCAGTGATTGGCGCTCGCAGCAAAGTAAGGTGAGGGGAGAAGACAGAGCGGGGCTTCTCACCTGGTGATTCTGTCCCCAGGGGACATTGGGTGGTGTCTGGGGACATTTATGGTTGTCACGACTGGAGGGGGTTCTGCTGGCGTCAGGTGGGTGGAGGCCAGGGATGCTGCTTCGTGCCCTACAGAGCCCAGGATGGCCCCACCCAGGAGAATATCTGGCCCCGTGTCAGTAGTGCTGGGGTTAAAAAGCTTCAGTTAATTATTTAGGAAAAACACTGAATTCAGATCCTGTTCACACTGTGCACCAGAATAAACCCCCAATGGGAGCTCTGGTAGCGTAGTGCCTAAGGCATCTGACTGCTAACGAGAAGGCTGGCAGCTCAAACCCACCAGCCACTCCTGGGAAGGAAGGTTGGGCAATCTACTTCGGTAGAGATACCGCCTCAGAAACCCAAGGAGGGGTCACTATGAGTCAGATCTGACTCAATGGCATTGAGTTTGATTTGGGTTTTTTGGATCAGATGGTGTAAACCAGAGGGACCCTTCAGCTCCTGTGACACCCCTTCTCTCTCCTCCCCACTTAGCATGGATTTAAGTATGAGCAGCGTCCTGGGAAGAAGGAGGGCACCCACTTCTCGAAGAATTGGCAGGGGAAACCTTATGAATAGCAGAGAAACGCTGTCTGATACATTACTGCACAACTTTATGGATAGCCCAGAAACATTGTCCAATATAGTGCAGGAGGATAAGCCACTTAGGTCGGAAAGCTCTCAAAATAGGACCAGGAAAGAGCTGCATCATCAGAGCAGAACCAGCCTTGCTGATATGGATAAGGTAAAGCTTTCGAGACCTCCCTTTGCTGACATGGCACAACTCAAATTGAGGACAAACAGCTGCAAACATCCATTAATCATTGGAACATGGAATGTACGAAGCATGAATCTAGGAAAATTGGAAATTATCAAAAATGAAATGGAGCACTTAAAGATTGATATCCTAGGCATTAGTGAGCTGAAATGGACTGGTTTTGGCCATTTTTAATCAGACCACCATGTGGTCTACTATGCTGGGAATGACAACTTGAAGAGGATTGGAGTGGCATTCATCATCACAAAGGATGTTTCAAGATCTGTCCTGAAGTACAACGCTGTCAGTGATAGGATAATACCCATACGTCTACAAGGAAGACCCGTTAATGCAACTATTATTCAAATCTATGCCCCAACCACCAAAGCCAAAGATGAGGAAATTGAAGATTTTTATCAGCTTCTGCAGTCTGAAATTGACCCAACTTGCAATCAGGACATTAATTATCACTGGTGATTGGAATGCAAAAGCTGGAAACAAAGAAGAATCACTGGTAGTTGAAAAATTTGGCCTTGGTGACAGAAATGATGCTAGAAATTACATGACAGAATTTTGCAAGACCAACAACTTATTCATTGCAAATACTTTTTTCAACACAAACGGTGGCTATTCACTTGGACTTTGCCAGATGGAATGCACAGGAATCAGATTGACTACCTCTATGGCAACAGGCAATGGAAAAGCTCAATATCTTCAGCCGAAACCAGGCCAGGAGCTGATTGTGGAACAGACCATCAACTATGCAGGTTCAACCTGAAGTTAAAGAGTCCACGAGAGCCAAAATATGAGTATTTTGGATATATTTTGAATATATCCCTCCTGAATTTAGAGACCATCTAAAGAATAGATTTGATGCATTGAACACCAATGACTG